TCTTTGAAAATGTTACAACACAGATGGTTTTAACGCGTTCACCACCAACGAACAGTATCACACTTTGAGTAATTGACACAACTCTCTTTTGTGTTCTAAATCTTTCTATCTTTTGAGACACTAATAACTTTGAACTAAGAAGTAGACGGACTTAGAATACAGTGTAGGTAGTTGTACAAGTCTTCTTCTTTGAAAGTATCAGCCTTATTATAGGAGAAAAAAGAGTCGTTGAGTCTTTAGTGAAATCAGAGGCACGAGATCTTTGCAAAAGGGTTTTGACCCAAAGGGTGTGTCTTCGAATCCTGCTCTTTGAAGAGTCTAGATTCGATTTTGATTTTCCTTGTCACCGCTTGAATTAAGGAACCATTTACGCCTTGAGTGAGCTTAATTCTGGACACAGAATAATTGCTGGCGAGATTGGCAATCTGAGTTCCTTTGATTGAGGACGAATAAATTTGCTTCTCTTGATTGACCATTGATGTAGCAATAACATCTTGCTGAGCATCTCCATTCTTTTCTTTTTGTTAGTCCCGCAAATATAACATAAGATAATATTGTCATCATTGAAGCTTAAACTTAAACCTATCAATCTCCCCCTTTTTGATGATGACAATCAAGAAGGAGTAAACAGTAATTTAAGATACTTCCCTTTGAAGATGTTGCTCCCCCTGAGTTGTGTTGCTCCCCCTGAGATTATGTTATTTCCATCTCCTCCTGAATAACTGTAATTGCAATCCTCCTGCTGGTGTTTACTCATATTTTTTTCTCTCCCTTTGACATCAATCAAAAAGGAAAGAATAGCACACAGAATAATATAGGATAAAATGTACATACTAATAAGGTGGTTAGAGCAGCAGAAGTAGTGCCTTCAGCAGAGGCTTAGTTAGTACATACCCAAAAAATATTGTCTAAGAGAAACCACCAACAAATATAAGCATAAGCAAAAATAATTGGTTGCATTAATTTCTTCCCAAGAAGTATTTGAGGGTGTTGATCACTTTGGTGCAGAAGGAGTCATAGGAGTTAAAAACGTCCTTGACGAGTTTGTTTATCTTTTCACTCATAGAGTTGAAAGCCCTAGTTCCTTGTCTCCATGTGGCTCCTATGTCCATCCTGATCTTGGACACATCTGTACCTATCTCCTTGGTGACATCCCTGATTTTATCTACCTGTTCTTTCATCTCAACAAGAAGCAGCTTGACTCCATCAAGGTAATGTTGAATTTGTTGAAGATTCTGAGAGGCAGTTGACTAAGAAGCTGGTTGATCATTTTGGACTTCAACTGGTGCTGGAGCACTTTCAACCTTGGCTCGCCTAACCAATCCATCATCACCCGGAGTGTACCCCATCATTGAAAAAGTTGTCTTATCATAAGTACTGGTGATGTACTTGGGTGTAAAGGGTGCCAAGTCTACTTTCATGACTTTTAGAATATGAGAGATGAGAAGACCTTAGGGCAGACATGCAGCGGAGGAGGATATATCCCTGATACTCTCAAGCATATAATGACGAATCCACACAAACCAGTCAAGACATTTATTATTAACCAAACAGTAGAGGACAAAGACATCTCTAGTGGACAAAGAGCTAAGGGATCGAGATCTGGGAAGGAGAGTAGTGGCAATCATGTGGGCTAAAACATGGTGTTCAAACTTAAGATTTTTGGGCCAATGTCAGGGGGGTTATCAGACAGAAATTGTTTTGCTTCATTAAAAGACACTTCAAAGTTTTTGGGCCAAGAATTTTGGACAAACACATCATACCCACTAAACTTGGCAGAAAAGATCTTTTCAAATTGGTACGAGTCCAAAACAATTCTAGTCCCTAAAACCATAGATTTCAAATCATCTTTATCATTCACGAAAATATTTGCATAAAACATTCTAACAGGTTCTTCATACACAGAGTTTCCAATAGTGTCAAAGAGAGGGGAAAGGTGCTGAGAATCAATAATTGCAGTCACATCACAATGAAGACTTTTCATAAGAGAGAGACTTACAGAGCATCTATAAGCCATGGGTTTTGACTTATAGGACTTAAGTCTTGCCTTTTCACTGGGGCCGTAGAAGATTAGCTTGTCCTCAAGACCAAATTCCAAGCGTTCCACTTTACCCTTCTTGCATGCAGCCTTTTTAGGGGTTTGATCCTTGGGTCTCTTGCCGGCCTTTTTCTGGCTAATGGGAGGAATTTCAGATGAATTGCTGCTTTCATTGTCTGTTCTGAGAAAATCTGAGTCAATGGACGACTCCACATCCGCAGACTCTTCAGTTTTAAGAGGTTTTTGGAATCTTCGACTGCGTCTGGTTACAGAGGAGGGATTTCTTTTGGCCATGGTGTGAAGGGTTGTTTGGTAGAGAATGAGAGGCGTATTGGAGACGGAGGGTTTTTATTGAAGATTTTAGGAAGAGCGGAGAGACGCCTTGATTAATGGAAAGGCCAAGTTCAGACGGAAGAGATGGTACAGAAGTGACTGATCGGCGGTACTTACAATAATTACGCTTACCCAGAAAAGTACAAATTTGGCAAAATGCCAATCTTTTTTCGGAGAAGGCAGAATCTTTCTTCCAAAAGAGATTTTGTAAAAATATCAGCAAGTTGAGAATCAGTACTAATAAACTCTAAAACAATGTTACCTTTTGCTACATGATCTCGGATAAAATAATTTTTAATTTCTATATGCTTTGCTCTAGAATGATGCACAGAATTCTTTGATAAACAGATAGCACTAGTATTGTCACAAAAGATAGGAATGGATGTAAGAGATAAATTAAAATCAAGAAGTGGGTGAATAATCCATAGAACTTATGTACAACAGCTTCCAACAGCTAGGTATTCTGCCTCAGTCGTTGATAGTGCAACATAATTTTGTTTATTGATGTGCCAAGATACTAATGCATTTCCTAACAATTGACATGTCCCACTGGTACTCTTCCTATCAATCTTGTCTCCTGCAAAATCATCATCTGAAAAGCCTCTTAGAGAGAAATTGTTAGAGTGATCATACCATAGTCCTAGTTCAGATGTACCGATTAAATATCTAATAATTCGTTTAATAGCAGAGAGATAGGATTCTTTAGGAGCCGACTGGAATCTAGCACATTTGTATACACTGAACATGATATCTGGTCGACTGGCAGTTAAATATAGTAGAGATCCAATCATCCTTCTATACATGGTTTCATCAACCAGTTTTCCATTGCTATCTTCATCTAGCACGATAGTTGGACTCATTGGAGTATCAATAGCCTTAGCATCTTCCATCCTAAAATTTTTGATAGGATCCTTGGTACACTTAGTTTGGCAGATGAAAATCCCTTTAGGGGACTACTTGATTTAAAGCCCAAGGAAGAAGGTCAGTTCTCCCATCATGCTCATTTCAAATTCTCTTTTCATGGAAAGAGCAAATTCTTGACAAAGAACAGAGTTAGGGCTACCAAAAATAATATCATCTACATAAATTTGAGTAATAAGATTACCTGAACTGGATTGCTTAATGAAAAGGGTTGTATCGATATTACCTCGTTTGAAACCTTGATTTAAAAGGAAAGAGCTTAACCTTTCATACTATGCTCGAGGAGCTTGTTTGAGACCGTACATGGCTTTAGTCAGCTTGTATACATGATTTGGAATGGTGGAATTTGCAAAGCTAGGTGGCTGCTTCACATATACTTCTTCAGAGATATAACCATTTAGGAACGCACTTTTAACATCCATTTAAAATAATTTGAATCCTTTGTGAGCAGCGAAGGCGAGTAGTATTCGAATGAATTCAAGTCTTGCCACAGGCGCAAAGGTTTCATCATAGTCGATTCCTTCCTGTTGAGAATAGCCTTGAGCTACTAGTCTTGCTTTATTTTGAACAACTTGACCTGATTCATTCAATTTGTTTCTGAAGACCCACTTAGTTCCAACAATAGAAGAGTTTTGAGGCTTTGGAATTAATTCTCATACTTTATTTCTTTCAAACTGATCTAATTCTTCTTTCATAGCACTAATCCAATGAGAATCCTTTAGAGCTTCATCCACTTTCTTGGGCTCAATTTGAGAAATGAGAGCTACATGAGATTTGTTCTTTTGAGATTTTCTTGTAGTTATTCCCTCCTGTGGATCTCCTATAATGAATTTGTGAGGATATCCCGGTTCACTCTTCCATTCATTTGGAGTATTTACTGGAGTCACCCTTTCTTTGGTAGTCGACTGATCTGGCTGGATAGGTCAAGATCTTCTGGTGGTACTTCAGCTGATTGAGTCTGTTGATTAGCTGACTCATTTTGATGATCCTTACCTACAATAACTGACTTAGGAGCACAGGAAATTTCCTCATCTTCAGGAATATGTTCATTCCTTGGATGAGGGTTAGTATCAACAAAAACAACATGAATAGATTCTTCAATACATAAGGTTCTCTTATTATAAACTCTGTAAGCTCTACTTGAAGGAGAGTAACCAAGAAATATACCTTCATCACTTTTTAGATCAAACTTACCAAGATTATCCTTCCCATTGTTATGGATGAAGCATTTGTATCCAATGGGGTGGAAATAGCTGATATTTGGTTTCTTACCATTCCACAGTTCATAAGGAGTCTTTTTGAGAACTGGTCGAATCAGACATCTGTTGATGATATGACATGATGTACTCATAGCCTTTGCCCAAAAATTATGAGGTAGAGAGTTTTTCACGATCATGGTTCTTGCCATATCCTGCAAGGTTCTGTTTTTATGCTTTACTACTCCATTTTGGTGTGGTGATCTTAGTGAAGAGAAGTTTTGAGAGATTCCTTGATCGTTGCAGAAATTTTCAAAAGCTCTACTTTCAAACTCTCCTCCATGATCACTTATGATAGTAGAGATGTAGTATCCCTTTTCTCGTTGAACCTTCTTACAGAAAACTTCAAAATTCTTTAGAGTATCATCTTTATGACTGAGAAACATAACCCAGGTAAATCTAGAGAAATCATCTACAATAACAAAAGCATATTTCTTACCTCCTATACTAGCAGTTCTAGTAGGACCAAATAAATCCATATGCAGCAATTGAAGAGGTTTAGAGGTAGAAACAATGTTTTTGACTTTGAAAGATGAGCGAGTTTGTTTTCCTAGTTGACATGCATCACAGATATGATCTTTCGAAAAATCTAGTTTTGGGAGTCCAATAACAAGATCATGTTTAGACAGTTTTTGAATAGTATGCATGCTTGCATGGCCAAATTTTCTATGCCAAACCCAGGGATCTTCAATCATAGATGTAAGACAAATTTGATCCCCAAAGTTTTTTAAGTTCTTGATAGTGTAGACATTTCTGTATCTATTACCTGAGAGAATGATATTACCTGATTCGTCTTCTATAAACCAGCCATATTTCTTAAAACGAACCTCAAAATCATTGTCACATAGTTGACTGATGCTGAGAAGATTATAGCCAAGTTCATCAACTAGGTAGACTTTATCTACATCATATGTCGAGCTTAAAGGAACTTTTCCAACACCAATAATATTTCCTTTGGATTAGTTACCAAAAGTAACTGTTCCTCCATCTAGCTTGGTGACTGATTTGAACAGTTGTTTGTCACCCATCATATGTCTGGAACACACGCTGTCGAGATACTATTTTCATTTTTGATTCTTCTTGCGGTGTTCCTGCAAAACAAGATTACTCATTTTTAGGTACCCAAGCTTGCTTGGGTCCTGAATGGTTAGACTGCTGAGTGTTAGTTTGATTTGAAGATTTTGGTCTCCAGACCCATCTCCTGTTCTTTTTGAACCTACAATGATTTGAGGTGTGACCTCTTTTACCACAATAGGAGCAGAATGAGTTGTTAGAGTTACCAGTACTACTTTCAGCTTTAATTCTGTTCCTGCAATGGTTAGTACTATGGCCGTTTTTACCACAAAAAGAACAAGCAATTTTCTTCTTGTGATGAGCATTCTGATTTGACTTGACTGGACTGAGACTCGTGGTCTTTTGCAAGCCATTCAATTGAAGCTTGAGTTCATTTACTTCATCTTGAAGCATATCATGCTCAATTTCGCACACTTCTAGTTTTAAGGCCCAGTCTTTCTACTCTCTCTCTTTTTCTCTCTTGGTTCTTCTGAGCTCATTTACTACTTTTTCTATGTCTGCAAGAGAAATATCAACAAATTCTTGAAGTTCATAACAATTAGGGCATAAAGGAGTACGTACCTCACTAGTTCCTTTATCTGACATTGAACGAGGTTCTCTTGAGTCGTCTTCCTCATCGTTGTTGTCTGCCATTAGTCCAAGTTCTCCTGAATCTTCATTGTCACTTAGAGCCATGAAACATATGTTAGCAATTTCCTCATGATCAGATTCTTCCTCATCACTCCATGCTCCGAAAACTTTCTTCTTTTGGATATTTCTGCTAAGCTTCTTCTTTAATTTCGGCTAGTCAGCTTGAATATGACCAAACTTTCCACATTCATAACACCCTCTATCATTTTTATCAGCTTCATTGCTCATCCTTCCTTTCCTGAAGTTGAACTTCCCTCTTCTGTTATTTCTGTTTCTTCTCATCATGCTGGTTACGACTTGAGAGAGCATTGCAATGTTTTCATCTTGTTCTCCTCCTTCTTCTTCTTCTTCTTCTTCTTCTTCTTCATTTTTTGGTTCAGCCACAGTTTCCTTGAAAGCAACATTTTTCTTCTTCTCTTGAATTTGTCTTTCAAGATGAGTTTTTTCAAAAGCAATTAGATCACCTTTGAGCTCGTCATAGGAAATTTTGTCTAGATCTTGACATTCCGACGCAATGACCTTTGGCTGCCAAATTATAGGTAAGCTTCTGAGAATCTTTCTAACCTGTTCACCATTTTTAATAGGTCTTCCAAATGATTTGAGGTCTCCAAGTATTTTGCTGAACATGGAAAACATTTCTTCTACAGATTCACCATCCTTCATTTGAAATAACTCGTAGTCCCAAACCAAGAGGTTTATCCTAGTCTCTTTCACTTTGTTGGTTCCATCGTAAGTGACTTCCAGTTTGTCCCACATTTCTTTTGCAGTTTCGCAACTTGATATCTTTTTATATTCTTCTCCACTGATAGCATTGTACAGTAGATTTTTTGCTTTTGCATCAATAATGATGACAGCAGCTTGTTCATCAGTGTAATCATCCAACTCAAGAGGATCAGTAGATACGATGACTTGACCGTTTACATCCTTCTTGGGAGGAATTAGAAGATTTCCCTTTTAAATCATACGCCATACTTTGATGTCATATGACATAGTATACGTTTCCATGCAAACTTTCCAGTGAGAGAAATGTTGATCGTTGAAGTAAGGAGGTCGAACCTCAGAGGTTCCTTCTTGAAAGAGAGCACCAACAACAGTATTGGATCCCATGATCTTTTCCTCACTAGCGATTAAGCAAGATTGTGAGCCTTGCTCTAATACCAATTAAACGTACAAGAGGGGGGAGGGGGTGAATTGTTGACTATTTAAAAATTAGTCGACTAACACAAGTATTAGTTGATTGATCACAATGCAGAATGAAAGTAAGCAGTAAAGAAGAGTAAATAACACACAATGATTTATACTGGTTCGGTACTGTTGTGGTACTTACATCCAGTTGCCCTTGGGTCACAAGGGTTCCCTTAAGATCTTTGAAAATGTTACAACACAGATGGTTTTAACGCGTTCACCACCAACGAACAGTATCACACCTTGAGTTCTGAGTAATTGACACAACTCTCTTTTGTGTTTTGGATCTTTCTATCTTTTGAGACACTGATAACTTACATTGTTTGAACTAAGAAGTAGAAGGACTTAGAATACAATGTATGTAGTTACGCAAGTCTTCTTCTTTGAAAGTATCAACCTTATTATAGGAGAGAAAAGAGCTGTTGAGTCTTCAGTGAAATCAGAGGCACGAGATCTTTGCAAAAGGGTTTTGACCCAAGGGGTGCCTCTTCAAATCCTGCTATTTGAAGAGTCCAGATTCGATTTTGACTTTCCTTGTCACCGCTTGAATTAAGGAACCATTTACGCAAGTACGAGCATCAGAGACCTGTTGGTTTGCTTCAGAAGTTAGAAATTTCTGAGTGAAAGTGGGAGCGTATCACTATGGAATTTGTTGTTGGGCTCCCACTGACTCAGAGAAAATTTAACGCAGTTTGGGTCATTGTGGATAGGTTGACCAAGTCAGCACATTTCATTCCAGTAGCAGTTACCTATTCTTCAGAGAGGTTAGCTAAAATTTACATTCGTGAGATTGTCCGCCTTCACGGTATGCCCGTGTCTATTAT